AAATATTTAGGATCCCACAGTTCATAGTCACAGGCCTTGTTGGGCTTCAGCGTGATGCCGTTTGCCTCCTGTCTCAGCTGTCCTCAGTAATTCATCTCTGGCTTGCTGAGCTGGGGTTGGGGAAGAGAGACACCTCACTTGGAGTATTGTGTGCAGTTCTGGTGTCCTCAGCATAAAAAGGACATGGAGCTGTTGGAGCAAGCCCAGAGGAGGCCACGAGGATGATCAGGGGACTGGAGCACCTCCTGTATGAAGACAGGCTGGGAAAGTTGGGGCTGTTCAGCCTGGAGAAGAGAAGGCTGCGTGGAGACCTCATAGCAGCCTTTCAGTATCTGAATGGGGGCTATAGGAATGCTGGGGAGGGACTCTTCATTAGAGTCTGTGGTAACAGGACAAGGGGTAATGGGTTAAAACTTAAATGGGGGAAATTTAGATTTGATGTAAGGAAGAAGTTCTTTACTATAGAGGTGGTGAGGCACTGGAATGGGTTGCCCAAAGAAGTGGTGAATGCTCCACCCCTGGTGGTGTTCATGGCCAGGTTGGACAGAGCCTTGGGTTACATGGTTTAGTGTGAGGTGTCCCTGCCCATAGCAGGGGGGTTGGAACTGGATGATCTTAAGGTCCTTTCCAACCTTAACTATTCTATGATACTATGATTCTAAGACACGCTTTCACCACCAGGTTCCTGTGGGGTGAATGCAGGTATCGAAGCACCTTACCAAGCCCCATCTGACCCCTGTTATCTGCCACCCCCTATCTTGTCACAGGTCCATGGTCACCAGGGATGGAGGGGAGCACCCATGGGAATCCCCTGTCCCTGTCTCTGCTCAATCCTTGCTCTCTGGTCTGCACGCATTGCCATCATGGTGGTGACCAAAGAGAGCCCAACCAGGCATGGTCAGTGACCAAACCTGGCAAAGAGCTGGACCTTGCAGTAGGGAAGGTGCTGGAGAGTGTGTCTGGGGGGGGTCAATGTAATAAGCAGGATGATAAGACTGGGGTATACATGAGCCACTGGTAAGCCAAGAGAAGCAATCCCAAACTCAATATAGCCTTGTGGTTTTTGGCCAAGGGCCTGGGCTGGTGGCCATATGAACTCGTACTGCATATGCTCTAATTCCCAGTCTGTGCACATGGCCTTGTGCAATATCTGAGGGGCCTGAGCTTGCTGTTAGGAGGTGGGATAAATTAAGAAGGATGCTCTTATCTCCTGGAGTAGCTGTGGATATACAACCCCTGCTTCTTGACTTCCTAGATGTGTCTCTGCCCTGAAGCTTCTTGGAAGAGATGCCTGGCTGGAGAGGTCTGGACAGAGGCTGGGATCTTTGGAAGAGACCCCAGGAGGAAGAACCTCATTTGGACCTCTTGGTGAAGGAGGAAGAGCGCTCAGGTGTCAGGTCTTTGGGGCATGGCACTGGCTGTCATTGAGACATTACTGAGCACTAGTGACCTGAGGGTGCAAAGGAAGAAGAGCCCAGGAGGAGGGTGCTGAAAACAGGAGTGAGACCTTGAAAGGGTCAGTAGTGGCTGTTGGAGTATCTCTGCTCTGACTGTAGGTACAGCTTGTGATATATGCTAAAATCCCATGGTTAGCCATGCTTTTACTCATTTTGGTTGAACATCCACTGCTTCCCCAGAGGAATTTCCCATCCACACCTGACCCAATGAAAGAAGAATAAGGATTACTTTAATGAAGACACCACATAAGAGTAAATCCTTTAAATAAGACAGAGCCAGAGGGGATGTGTCTATCAGGGACCATTAAGCCAGAAGCCCTGGATGGACCCTGCCATTCCAAAGTCCCTTTGGTGCTAGTTGCCAGGGGCTGAAGAGGGTAAAACCCCCAAACCACAGCAAGGTTTGATGATGAGCTAAAATTTATGATTTTTCACCATAAACAAATTATTTTATCTTTTACCCTCTTTCAAAAGAAACTTAATGAAACTGGTTTAGCACTAATTACGTTTTCACATTTTCTTAGGAAATTAGACCTGATTTTTCACTATGTTCTTTGAAATCCTGATAGCAATTCTTTTATTGGCCTGACACTACATTTTCTTACCAAAAGCCATATTTCGGTGGTTTCCAAAACCAATAATTTCAATAGAAAGCACTAATGAAAAATCATAGAAAAGGTGCAAGTTTCAAAGCATATGAAATGTGTAAAAAAATGTATGTGTTTATTTTTATTTTTTCTCCTCATATGGATTTATTTCCATGTCCAACCAAATTTTGATCATCTAATAATGATGTTTTCTTGAGAGGAAAGAAACCCCAAGCTGACCACAGCAACACAGCTTAGAGTTTTAGCTGATGCAAATCCGCCCATCTCCAGAGGGGCTACACTCTATGTAGCACAGAGGGATTATTTAGCTGTGTGTGTTTATGTAGCGTCTTCACACCCCTCCATTTGCTCCTGAAACCAGTAGCAGCACTCCTGCCCAAACCAACAGGGCTGCAATTGTATGGCGAAGAGCAAAAAACCCTGTGGAGATAGAGAGAATATCATAAGCAAATAAAAAATGGAAGTTGAAAGGTGAGGTTTGCGGAGAGGAAGTGACTCATGGGTTGGGAATGAGGGATGGGGTCTTGGGGAGCCTCAGCAGCTCGAGCTTCAGTGACCCCCGACTGTGAGGAGTCATGGGGAGGACAGAGGAGAGGCCAAGCATGGAGCAATGAAATGAACAGTTGGGTCCAGGGAGAGCTATGAAACCCTGGAAGACAAGCTCATGGCGGTCATGCAGAAAGGGGAGGAATATCCAGCCTTTCCAGGATATTGTCTCTGCTGTTTATTCTTCCTTGGCTTTGATCGGGGGCTGTGTGAGACATGACAAGGCAGAGACCTGAGGGAAACCAGTAAAGCTGGAGCATCTACAGCAATGGTTTAAAGCTGTGCTCAAGCTCCTGACTCCACATCTGCTGTGCTGTATGGGGAAAGGGCAGCAGTATTTCCCCAGCCACTGTAGCATAAAGGAATGTGGTAGTATATCTTAAATAGTTTGGATATCCTTGAATGAACCCCCCGACCTCCTCCTGCAAAAGCCACCAGAACCCAGCCAAGCCATCAAGTGTCTGCAACCAGTGTGTTTTGGGGAAGGATGCATGGATGACACAGCAGTGCACAAGTATTGCATCAGGACATGCAAGTGTGGGGGTGAGGCAGGGACCCGGTCCTCTTCCCACCACCCTCCAGTAAATCTGTGTCTGTGTGTAGAGACGCTTGGTGTATTGCATCTGGTTGTAAAAAAAGCTATTTGGACGCTGGCTGTGCCTTAGCAAATGGTGCCTGAAATAACACAAAGAAGACCTCAAGCCTGTAAAGTGGGGAGGCTTGTGAGCTGGAGAGCTTCTTGCCAAGGTGCTGCAGTGGCCGCTTGAAAAGAAGCTGTGCGCTCACTTCTCCACCTGCCCTAACCCCATATCCCGCTGTCTGCACCCTTCTCTCCTGCCCTACATGGGTTAATGCTCCCAGGGCATGTTCACAGCTCTGAGATCAGGCAGAGGGCGAGTGCCCACAGACATCCTTGGTCTCCCCTGACTTTGGTCTCCCCTGACTTTGGCAACACTGAGCTGTTCTTGGCTTCATTAGAGCCTGATTTGCATGGTATGGAAATAATTGGCTCTCAATAACTTAGTCTGGGCATGGTTTTCAGAGGTACGCAGTGCTTGCAAGGGAGTTGTGGAGCAAAGTGTTTTTTTCTACTGTTATAGGGGAAGGACAACACATATATATATATATATAAGTAGTAGACACCTGCTTTTGCAGGCAAAGTTTTTTATTTCACCTCATTGTAATGAAAACAGATTTTAGCTTTAGCACCACTTAGTGTCATTTAATTTCTGAACATCCCAGATACACCTTCGTCATTCATGGTTTGGCTGGAGTATTTCTATCGGCAAAGCAAGCTGGAGATGCTGCTTTCTCAGGAGAATGCAGCATTACCTGGAAACCCTGTTGGTGCCTGTGCTGCCTTGTACCAGGACACAAGAAAGATTTAATTCAAGGTCTGTTCCCCAGGGTTATGCAGCCTCAAGGAGGTAGAGCTGAAGAAGACCCCATTGATCTCTTGGTCCTTCTACCTTCATATGCGATCATTGTTTCTGAGGGCTGAAGAGGCAGAGCTCTGTTACTGGGAACATGAACTTATTTGGTGAGCTGTTGCTGCATGGAGATGCTCTATATCCCAGTTTCTAGCACAGACCCTGAAAAGCACAGTTTTTAATGATCCTTTCTAGGTGGAAAGCCCCAGCAATACCACACAGAGCCTACCAAAGCCCTGGCAGGGCTCCTGCCTCCATGGAGCAGTTTCCATGTTAGCATCCAGAAGGCTTATGGCCAACCTAGTTTAAACGCAGCATGTGGCAGAGCTCAGCTCAGTGGAGACGAGAGTCAATCAAGGTATGTTTGATGCTTCCCATCTCTTCTGATCAATCTTCAGCACACATGAACTAAAATTAAGCTTTTGAACTGTAACAGGGGAATTTCTCTCCTACTTTCATAGGCCAGCACTTGGATGAGGCTCAGCAACAGTTTTAGTGTGGATTCTACTGGGCATAATACTGGAGACTTTAATTGCAGGAGTTGGCTTGGAGTCCTCTATTTCTTGAACGCTATTGAGACAAACATCCTGGCCAAGGAATCAGTGCAGGCACCCTCTAACTTTGAGGCAGTAACATGGGCCAACTATTGCTGTGAAGCGCTGAACAACGTGCCGGCATCCAGCCTGGCTTTGCCTTTAATACGCATAAGGCAGTACATGACATTGGTGTGGGCCATGCACTTGAAGAAGAACACTTAAAGAGCCCAAACCCTACAGAGCAGTGCCGCTCTAGAGCCAGGGCAGGGATGCTCCTGATGCTGTCCATCATACATTGGTGACCACCTTCTGTGTATGTTTTAGCCCCATCTCTTCATAACAAACCCCTCCCTGTCCTGACAAGCTCCACCCAATGACACCTCTCCTATAAATCACCCTCCAGTTGGAGCAGGCTTTTCTCTACAGTTGAAGGTGCTGAGCATGGGGAGAGGATGGAAGAGTGTGCCTTGCTTGGAGAGGAAGAATAGGAAAGCTAGGTTAGTGGCCAGCTCTCTGCGAGTATTTCGTCTGCTTGTCCTCCAATTAGGCCAGCAATATCATTCTGCTGTTAGAAAATAATCTCTGTGACATTCACCAGCGATGGATTTGTTGGTTGTAAAGTTAAAGAGGCTTTGGGCTTAGGGAGCCTGACCTTGGATCTAGCTCTTCTGAGCTTGTGAGTGCAGGCTGGTGTTTTAGCTGGGAAGCAGAAACTTTTGAGCTAGTAAGTAACAATAAACAAGCTTAATGTTGGTTTGTTATGCATCTCTTAGAAGAGGTTTAAATGTGGAGCCCTGTTTTTGTAGAGAGAGACAGGTTAATACTGAGTAAAGGAAGCTGGTTGAATGCTTTTTTAATGTTATTTTGGAAAACCTGGAGTTTTTTTTGTGGGAGAGAAAAATGTTTCACTCACTTTCAGAAGCTATTTTTAATGGTTTGCTTTTTTTTTTAAGCATGAGCTGAATTTTTGGTGAATAACTGCTATTTCCTCTTTTGCCTTACTAAAATGGTAGGTGAAAGATAAAGGAGGTTGGAGAGGGGAAAAAAAATGTAAAAGGATTAGCCCCTCTCCCATAGTCTTTTTGATAAAAGTATTTGCAAAATACCTTTTAAAGAGTAAACATTGCTCCTTCTTGAAGTTTATGGGATGCAAACAGTGGTATTGTGGAAGAATGCGCCTTTCACTTTTTAAAACAAAGCTTAGCAAAATATCTGTAATACGACTGGAGGGTCTTAAACTGCGTTTACCTGCATGCTCAGAAGTCTTTCCATTGCATTCTAGAACCTCAGAAATATAGGGTTTTCTTTTTCTTCCTTTTTTTTTTCCCCCCAAACCTGTCTGTGCTGTATGTCAATGATGAAATAATTGCAGTCTGGATAAAGCTTTTTAGTGCTGAGCATGAAAAAATAAGCAATGGGAATGGAGCTACTCTGTTTCTCCCCTTGGAGGAGGAAGACTCTTGTGCCCCAGTTGCCATAGTGTCAGTCAGAACTGATTTGCAAATGAAGGGGCTGGAACTCCAGCATGAGCCTATTGCTGCTCCAGGAGTTCATCCCCTAATTTTCTCTGTTCTTTTGTCTACTTTCTTGCTCAGGGGTATGGCCAGGTGCCAGCAATGTGACAGCAAGGGGTGAGCACTGCCAGCAGATCCATTTTGGGCTTCGCTATGGGTATCCCCAGTGAAAAGTGTTAGCTAATAAAGTCTGCCTGGAGTGTCAGCCTCCATCTCCAGGAGGAGACTTCAGCTGGGATGTCATTTGAGAAAGGGAAGAACCTGCCCTGTATTATTCTACTTCTCTACAAGGTGATTTTAGCTGCAGCTTTTAAGCCTCTATTTCCATGGCAGTCCATGTTCCACGTATCCACCAGGGCTTGCTTTACAAAGATGCTGGTCACAAGCATCATTGAATGGTTGGGGTCTCTGGGGAGAAGGTCTTGGGCAGCTAGTGATGGGTCTCTGGTTTGTCTTCTGCCCAGATTCCCTGGGGTGTTGGCAGTTGGGATCAGTGATCAACAGGACAGCAGTGCCTAGCTGTAACCCAGCACCTGGATTGCAAGGTAAAGACACAGGGACACCTTTTATTCCAAAGGAAGAGAAGAAGCTCCACCAGCTATGCCAGGCAGCCAGCTTGATGTCTTGCCCTTGTGTGTCTCCATCCATCATGGGCTCAGAGGTGAGAAGTATTTACTGTACTTGGAGAGATAAATCTAAAGGTGAAGCTGATTGTTGTCATATATTTATTGCTATTGCTCTGTTGTACCCATGTGGAGCTTTATCCTCTTCATATCTTTCCTCAGTTCTCCTGTGGTGCTTTAAGAATTCATTCTGGCTAAGTTCTTTGCAGTGCTGTTGAAGGCAGCTTTGGTTGATGTACAGGGCTCTTCCTCTAGGTTTGAGGACTGAGATGTAACATGGATGGGGTTACTTTTATTTATATTGTCAAAGGGAAGGTTAAAAAGTTGTTTTGATATATGTTTTGTGTTAAAATGAAAATTTTTTTTCTATTCAAATGAAACATTATTGGAATGTGGATTTTTTGCTGCAAAGAAATGTTTGTTTTATTACATTGTGTGAACCTTTAGAAACAGTGTTTGGAGTCTCCTGAGGATAAAGGACTGGATGTATTTGTGTTGCCTGCTAAATTGTCTCATGTAGTAGTGCAGGCTGGTAGGATAGGAGAAGGTCACCTGCATTGAGATTTCATAGTGGGCAAACTTAGTGAGAAATATATGTGACTCTGTGATTTGCTTGTAAAGAGTCTGGAGTGGCAGTAGTACTGTGTAACTGTGTGAAACTGCTTTTGAGGTCTGATTTTTGTTTTGCTTATCCAGCCATATTATTTTAGGACAGATGTGGTGGTTTGCTACAGGTGCTACTGGGGTGGTGGATGAGTGGTGAAGGAGATCGGGTGTAGGCGGGGGTGTAATCAAACACTAATTCAGCAAACCAGGCCTTTTGGCTCTGTGAAACCATGTTGAAAATACTTATTTTCCTCTTGGGAAAGGATGTGTTTGCAACATCTGGGATTTCTGGGAATTCCCCCTTCTGGATGGGCTTAGGCACAAGTAGAGCAGGAGCTGTGCTCATCTAATGTGCCTGTCCATGCAGCATTAGCAGGAGACTTCACTGGGTAATCCTTGCATCTGGCACAAAGTCCTGGGGCTGAGCAGTGTCTAATGGCACAGGAAGAAAACCAGATTCAAACTGAAGCTACTAAATGATGGGGAATGCATCTTGTTAACTTCATGCTCTGATGAGGTTTCCTAGCATGTTCTCACTCAGCTGTTTGCCCAGGTTTGCGGGCATTGGGCATCTTGTTTGGTAAGGAATGGAGATGTCAGTGGGACTCAAGCAGGCCTTGAAGAAATCTGGGGATGGTTTCATTCCCACACCCCTTCTGGGTGATTTGCCTCTCTGACTGTGACAGCCTGGTTCAGCTTTAGATCCAGTTTTGGATGGTTTTGGGCCTTATTTAAGCCTGTGTAATATTTTATTCTACATATAAAATTATTCTTCATGTGTAAACATGTTTTATATTAGTACAGAGACACCAATCCTAACAAATCCCTTTTTCTTTAGCAATTAAAATACAGATTACAATCCTCACTGCTTGGGTGAAAAACTTTCTGCAGATAATTCTTGACCCTGCTTATGTGTTGATATCTGTTACCCATCTTTGTCACAATCAAAGACCTTCACTACAACAGCTGAAACCAGATTGTCAAAAATGTTAAGAGTGGTATGTTTGACCTGGTGTTAATTATATGTGTCAGTGATATTTAAGTGGTAGAGATGGGGAGATGTGTCAAAGATTGAGTTTTGCTGGGCAAAGATTCAGTAGCAAAACAGGACGTGGCTTTTATAAAGAGAATCCAGTCTCTGGCAACATCAGCTCCAGATCCTGGAAGCCAGAGCCCACAAATATGGGCACTACTCAAGCTTGCTTTGATGCAGGAAGGCAGCATTAGATCAGGTATTATAGGGGTAGTGAGGGCCACTGGTCACCAATCTGGTGTACTTGGCTTTGCAGCAGAAGAGCTGAGATCATGCCTTTTACTTGGGCAGGATGTCTTCTGTTGGGAATGAGAGCAGCTGCATCACAATCTCTTGACCAGGTCTCTGACATGTGAGCTCTGGATTGTATCCTGGTAATATGCAGCTTAAGTGGCAAGGCAGTTTTTGACCCATTTCCTGAAATGTAAGAAAATTCTGCTTTAATGAAGGAAAACAAGATTTTTCTGAGCAAAGAATCCAATGAAACCTGTGTTGCAATCTTCACTTTTCATATGTTTTTGTCCAAAATGGCTTCTCATTTCTCTGATCTAGTGCTTCTCTGGGCAGCAGCAGGCACAAGATTCATCCAGTTCTCAGCTGTTTGTGGTGTTTAGGTGGTTTACTTCCATGTTCATAGAGTAGTTTAACTGCCTTTGTTTCCTTTGCATTGAGAGACACAAGTGAGGCTTCCTTTATTTTACTCTTTTGTTTCTGCCCCTTCCTCAGCCAATTCACAGCAGTTTTGGTTTAAGCTCTGTAAAGACTGGCCAAGGGGCAGAAAAATTGGAAGAATGGGTTCAACATTTTTAGGAGAATGGAGAAATCAACACCATCATTGCATCAGTGTCTTTACAGTTAGCTCATGTTAAGAGAACAAAGTTAAGTATTGACATCTCAAAGAAGCTATGACTTTGTTAGTATTTAGGTTGCCATCACCAGGAGAAAATGTACTAATTCATATCCTTGGTGTGGGTGAACAAAAATAGTACCTGGATACCAGACCTGTATTCGAAGTAGGATTAGTGAGGAGTAAGCTGCAAAGAGAAATCATGTAATCTTAGTCTTTGGTCTTAAAACAAGAAGGAATGTTGTCTTAGATGTCCTGTTCAGTTGGAAATTACTGGGCTCAATGCAGGAGTAACTGGGTTAAGTTCTGTTCTAGATCTTTACTTTGGAGGGTCTTGCCTGCCCTGTCATGTCTCCAAGATGCAGCACACAAACCAGAAGACTTTACAGTAACTTCTCATGTGGGGCATGTTCCTGAAGTGGCTGATCTAATAATCTGCATGTGTTAGCAACCCAAAAAACAGACTTCAGGGAAATAACAGGGCTGTGCCTGTCTGGAAGAAGTGAATTTGTAGTTGCTGGGACCAGTACTGATTTATGTATGAGGGTCTCTTCCTGCTGGAGTAATGGCAGGTTTGAAACCAAGCTGGGTTAGAAGTCAGCTGCGATGAGTGTTTCCTTCTTGGGTTTCCTTTTAGATTACTTGTCTCAGATTTTGCCTCATTCTGTAGGCTCTTCACATCTGATTTTGTAAGTCAATAATGAAGCTTGCAAGAAAAGGCGTATCAGGAGAAGGACCAGGCTGTACAACCCTATTTCTTGCATTATTTCTAACTCTCCTGTGGTCCTCTGGCAATTGTTGGTCAACAGATAGACTTTGTAGCTGCTCCAGTGTCAAAGCTTGCTTATAGGTTGAGCTGGACCTTTCATTAAGCACACCATTGGTTTCAGTGAGGTAGGTGTTTACCCCATATTTCCTCTGCACACTAGATATAGCTTAAAGTTCTCCTAGCTGCCTTGTGACCACAAATTCCTCCAAAAAAATGGAACAGGACACCTTTCTGGCTGCCTGGAAACCTTGCTGAGATTTTCTGTAGAAGGGGGAACAATACAACCTCAACAGAGAAGTCAATTATAGCAATGGAAACTTCTTCTTTAAGACTTTGATGTGAGGCTGGTATTGCTTTTCACGAGGACAGAAGTGTCAGAAATGCCACTTTTAATGAAAAATGTTTTAATGGCAAATACTTTCCACAATGTAATGGTTATTCTTGGGTTTGTCTGGTGACTGTTGAACCTCTGTATTTCTTTGCAGAGTTATATGTAATATGGTTTGGCTCTGCCTTTTCACTCTTGCTCAAGCGCAGTCCTGGTCTAGGTAGGGAAGTCAGGGGAACTGAATATGATAATGTATTTTGTCTGTTACTTGTATTGAAGTTCTGTATGAAGTAAGATAGTTCTGAACCTTGGACTAATGGATATTTACTTCTGCTACCCTGATGCCTGTAAAATCATAGGCCTTATTCTAATATCTATCTTAAACTCCATCCAGCTTGAACTATTCCTGATCAATCTGGGTTTAAACATGTGAGAATTCTCCTAAGAACTGATCCTATAGGCTGATTATTAGGGAAGGACTGCTCTGGATGTCAGTGGTAAGTATCATCTCACACAGATACAATCCTAAAGCAGGTATCTGGCAGCAATTGTCTCTGTAATGACAGTTTTTTGAGGATGAGGAGACAGAAATTTTTATATAGCTGAGATTTCTCCATCTGTTCTTATCCTGTTCCATCTCTGGACAGTCTGAACTGTGCTTTAGCTTCTGTGGTGCCAAACTTGCTAAGCTCCCCCTCTTCTCTGGAAATCTCCACAACTAAGACAGTGCTATTGACATCTCTATGACTAAGGACAGCTTATGCTCACTGGGAAGGTGTGAAGCAAGTGGCCAGGCTGGGTTATGGCATCGGATTGCCACTGGCACTAATAAAAGGACTGGTAATCTAGTCATGTTTTTGACTACTGAAGCAATTTCTATGGCCTTAATGATACGGAGTGGAGGAGGGGATGGGAATGGAGTAGGGATTGGCCACAAATAAATTCACCTGTAAACCTGTGAAATAAAAGAAGCCATGAGCTTTGTAGGTCACTATGATCTTTTCTTTGGATCTCATGGAGTGGTACAGTCAGCATCTGGATACTGTGGCCAGAGCTGACACAACTCCTCCGGCACCATGCTGTGCCCTGGCAGAGACCTGCATTTACTATACCAGAGGTAATAACAAGTGGGGCTCTGCCATCTGATGCCATCATGGCCATGAGTACAAGTGGGCTACAAGGGGATTAGATATAGCCACAAATGACAAGCTCATCCATGGCTGTTGATCATGGAAATCTTTGCCTCATAGGAAATTGTTCAGAGAGAGGCTCTGTACTTGAGTGGACCTTTGCTCTTAAGTGCTGGGGCACCTGAAGTCTGGATCCTGCTACCGCACTGAGGCAGCTCCATTTTGGCAAAGCTGAGACCTCATCCTATATGTGGATAGCTAAATTTCTCGTGTCTGCATCTCCTGAAGATCCAGTAGATGTGTTTCAGGTGTGTCTAAGACCATTCTAATAGCATTGAGTTCAGCACTGAGTATGGTCTCTCAAGGAGGTTGAGCTGTTCTCTTCCAAGCATGTTCAAATGTGTGCGAGAGACTTGAGGTTTTGGTGGCCTAAGGCTTCTACTTCCAATGCTACTTTTCCATGTTATCTAGCCACTCTTGGATGCAAAATAAAACTTTAGAACCGGCGTTCAGCACTCTTCAGATCAAAGACCAAACCTGGTCCCTGCTTGCTTTTCTCTTTTGGACCATCTAAGTTGATTGTGGTAACATGGTTGAAGGGAATCCCTTCATCTCTGGAGGGTGTGGATGAAGAGTACAGGCTACAATATCTTCTGGGTTTGTTGCTTTCCAGGTGAGGGTGCTTGTCACCAAGTTCAAGATCCTTGGGATGCTTCCCTTTCTGCTGAGCCTTGGAAGGAAGAAGTTGAATATCTGTGTGCAAAGAATTATGTTAAGTACCTACCACAGGAACAAATTTCTGGTGAATCCCAGTTTCTGAAGCCCTAGTGGAGGCCTGTTGTGACAGAAGCCTCTGCTTACTGCCTGAAAAGTAACACTCAGCAACATGAGTTATGGAGCCTTTTCTAGCACCCATAAATCTTGGAAGAGAATCAGTCTTCAACCATGTACCCATTCAGGCTAATATCACTTCTTGCAGCTGGAATTAATCATGTCATTAGGCAAACAACAGGGGTTCATTAGGACCAAAGGTGACTTTAATTTAATTGAAATATAACTTGGCAAGTAAAGAGGTGATCCAGTTCACAACACCTAATGGGAGGTCTGGGTTATATATGGAAAAGTTAATGGCCGTAAAAATATCCAAACAACATATTTGTGCACGTGTTCCAGTAAAAGTCCGAGCCAGCTACTTTTTAATGGTTTGGGTTTTCAAATGTATATATTAATGTTCTTAAAATAAGAGTAAGTCTATATGCACACACAGCATAGAAATATGAGGTGGGTGGGGGTGTGAGGGAGGGGAACCTCATGGTCAGGACAGCATCAGTGGAAGCCACTGTTCTCCTTGTGCTGGAGAAGGCCACTGAACTCCTTTGTTCCCCAAAGCATGTGTCTGTGTAATGGCTGTTACAGTCTTGCCCTTAGCGGTTGAGGAATAAAGGT